CGCTCTTCCAACTCCCCATCTCTGATGCTTCTCCCCACTCCTTGGCCCAAAACTAAATATGTCAGCAGAAAGTCAGTTGGGGAGACCCAGGAGTGTGCAGGGCTCAGTGAGCACCCTCGGAATGACAACATCCAGCCACAGGAAAAGAGCAGAGATGCCCCAACTCCCACCCATGTGTGCCTCTGGGCTCTGCCTGCCTGGACAAGTGCCCCTGAGGGCAGAGGCCATCCTCCCTCCCTGTTAGGGAGGATAGAATGTGAAGGAGAAGCTAGGGTGCAGTGGGAAGTCATGCGAAAGGCCCCAGTAACATCCCTCTGGTCTATGGGGACCAGAGGCAGGAAGCTGGGGTCCCTTTCCCTGAGGGCTGGGGGAGACGCTGGAGCGCTTGGACCTGTTACCTCCTTAGGCACTCAGGAAAGGGCCCTGTACAGAGGAGTGGGGTCATGTCGGTCTGTCCACCCACGTGGCTACGGCAAAGGCTGAGCCCAGTGTCCACCTGCCCTGCTGACTCCTGACTACTTGTGAGTGGACGTGGGGGACTCAGCCCCTTGACCCCACCTCCTGATGGGGACCTGGCGAATGGTCTCCATCTCGGACCCTGGTCCTGCGGTGAGAGTGGGTGGGGTGGGGTAGAAGGTGGGCAAGGTGGAGGGAGGTGAGGGCTCCAGCCCTGCGCGCGTGGACCAGAGGGAGGGGTGTAGGCTCGGTCCCGCCCCGCGCGCCCCCGCCGCGGCCGGCGCGCACTCCCGGAAGGCGGCGGCGGCAGCGGCAGCACCGGCAGCATCGGCAGCAGCCCCGGGCGGCCTCGGGCGGGGTCGGCCCGACGGACAGAGGGCGCCGGGGGCACGCGGCCCGCCCGGGCTGGCCATGGAGGGAGCCTCGTTCGGCGCGGGACGCGCAGGGGCCACCCTGGACCCTGTGAGCTTCGCGCGGCGGCCCCAGACCCTGCTGCGGATCGCGTCCTGGGTGAGTGGCCCCGGCCCAAGCCCCGCCCCGATACCCAGTCCCCCTACGCCTCGCCTCCCTCATCCCTAACACCTGCCCCTCGCCCCTTCCTCATCCTTGCCGGCCCCTCCCCCGCCGGCCGCAGGTTGGGGTGACGTCATCGGGCAGGGCGCGCCCACCTGCGGGCGGGGGAGGGGCCGGCGGCGACAGCCGGGTACCTTGAGAGGTCACCGCCCGCCGCACCCACCTCCCAATTCTTCCTTAGGTCTATCTCAGTCCCCTTCCAAAGCCCTCGCTCGGTTTTTCATGTGCTTACACCCTGGAAGCGGGCACAGGGGTGGGGGCGGGATTCGCGGAGGGGCTTGAGCGCTCAGCCTCAGCAAGAGTAAGGGCTACCGGAGCCAAGAGAATCAGGCAGAGCCTACCCCCTACTTCTGCACGCACATCCTCCCGGCTCCTTCGAAGGGAGCTGGCCATTTCCAGGCCCCCCAGTTGCAATTGTGAGTTGGGGGGTGTGCTCTGTGATTCCTCTGAGTGGGGCAGCTGGAAGGGGTCTACACTGGGAAGGCTTCCTGGAGGTGGTTGTGGGAGGGGCAGATTTAGAGGCAGCCTAGCCTACTGGGGCAACCTTAGGCCCAGTGGCCTGCTCCTCCTTCCCATCCCTCCAGGCAGGAGAGATGGAAGGTGGAATGCTGAGTTCTGGGTTTTGTCCACCTGGTGGTGGCTGGTGGTGGCACGTACTCACCTGTGTTCCAGGAGGGCGGTGCCCAGAGTGGGGCGGGGGCCCTTGGGTGGAGTGACTCTGGCCAGACCAGGAAGTAGGGACCCTACGTTCTGGTCCCAGCTTTGACCTGACTTGTGGACCAATCTGTGGGTACGTGTCCATATCCTGCACCTTGGTTTCACTCTTGATTAAGTCTCTAGGAGCTGGGGCTGGAAAGGAGAGAAATGAAGTTGAAATTAGAGGTCTTTTTTTTAGAAATATAGGGCTGCCCAGAGCTCAAAGAGCAGCTTCTGGTTTAAAAGGACTGTGGTCCACTCCTTTGCCTTCCAGCCCTCGTGGGCACAGGGCACTGAGGTTTGACTGAACCCCAGAGGTCAACGGTGTCGCCTTTTAAGCCCAAGCATGTATGGATGGTGTTAATTAGCCACAGTCATGTGGGGCCATC